GAGCAACCGTATTCCGCGTGTCCAACGAGGTCATTTTCCATCCTCGCTCATGGTATGGTTGGGAGTTTCTTATTGGGGCTTAACAGAGGTACATTTTTGTGAGAAAGGTGTAAAAACGAATGCAGTTGTGTATCAAAATACAGTCCTGACGAACCTTGTGGAACCTGTTTCTCATACCATGTTCAATAACAGGCACTGGGTATTCCAACAAGATTCGGCGCCAGCTCATAGAGCGAAGAGCACACAAGACTGGCTGGCGGCGCGTGAAATCGACTTCATCCGGCACGAAGACTGGCCCTCCTCCAGTCCAGATTTGAATCCGTTAGATTACAAGATATGGCAACACTTGGAGGAAAAGGCGTGCTCAAAGCCTCATCCCAATTTGGAGTCACTCAAGACATCCTTGATTAAGGCAGCCGCCGATATTGACATGGACCTCGTTCGTGCTGCGATAGACGACTGGCCGCGCAGATTGAAGGCCTGTATTCAAAATCACGGAGGTCATTTTGAATAAACTTTAGTGTCATAAGAATCTATGTTTTGTTAAGTTCATTTTGGTATATGAATGGTTACATAATGAATAAACTTGTTTCAATTATTTTACATTAAACATGTGACAGAATTTATGACCTGACTAGGTATATGTATTTTATTTATGTATGTTTATATTACTGTCTCGTTAAATTAACGATACATCGTAAATTAATAGGGTTGTCCGAAAGAGTGACGACAAGCCACGTATAATAATTTTAATATTAATAAAATATAATATTTTGTTTATTTTAGTGTACAACGAAGTATATTTTACTAATCGGTAGGCAGCGGCTTGGCTCGGTAGGCAGCGGCTTGGCTCTGCCCCTGGCATTGCTGAAGTCCATGGGCGACGGTAACCACTCACCATCAGGTGGGCCGTACGCTCGTCTGCCTACAAGGGCAATAAAAAAAAAACTGAGTAAGAACTTAAAGCCTTATTGTTGCGGTGGAAATAAATCTTGATAATAGAGGCTTAACGTCGACTATTACTTCTTCAGAGATGGGATGGAATGTCTTTTTGGAGATTCGACCTGACAATCACAGAATTTTTAGATCAATTATTTAAATACAACTTTTCATGAAAATGGTCTTCGAAATATGTGTAATGCGTTGCCGTTTTAAGATTTAAATGTACTACCGATTTTAAATGTAATTTGCGTATTGTATTGTATCTTTATTTTTAAAAAATATGGATTTACATTTTTAAATTCAACCTATTTTGAGCAGCATTTTTTTACCTTGGGATAAAAAATGGATTATTTTTAAAAATCTTAAGCGGTCACCTAAGCTATGACAATGTCCCAAACGAAAACTTACCCCTAAAAAATCACTATTTGATGGTCTAGTGCCCCGCATAATTCATCACAGCTACTTACTTAATGACACCCGCACTACTGCGGATATATGCTGTGAGATATTTGAAACAATCTTAAGGATTTCGTGAATATCCGGACAGCCTTAAGCCGGTCCCCACTTCTCCTGCACGACAACACTTAACCTCATCCTACACAATCACAAAAGGTAGATTTGCAAGTCTTACGTCACACACCGTACTAATCAGACCTTGCGCCAGAAGACAGAGAGAGAGAGAGAGAGAGAGAGAGAGAGAGCGAGAGAGAGAACATACTTTATTGCACACCAAAACACAATTAAAATTAGAAAACGGTCGACAAGCAGATACATTTGTACAATAGGCGGTCTTATCGCTAAAAGCGATTTCTTCCCGACAACCGTTTAATTAACAGAAATTCTGGAGTTAATCCGTTTAATTAACAGAAACAGGAAGGCTTGGCAGGGAAAAAATTCAATGGCCAAGAGACAGTACAAAATGTCTTGGAAGTGTTTGATGGCTCCAATACACGTGACTTTTTCAAGAAGAGACATTAAAAAATGACTACTGCGCTGCCAGAGACGCATCGATACCATGGCTGCAACTTCTGATACATAGAAATAAACAATATTTAGAAAAATGACTAGAAATCTAATATATACATATTTATGTATATGTATTTATTTAAGTACGAGTATTTGTATCTATAAATATTATGTATGTTATGTATACATATATGTCTAAGTAATATCACTATCACACTACACCTACCAAGGTTTATTTCTGCACCCCCCAAGGTAGACTGTCAGAGAATGCCTATAGCATTAAGTCCGCCTTTATACTATCTAGTATATAAAGTTATAAATAAATAAATAAAAGCATTTATAATTTAAAATGTTAATTTTAAAAAGATAATCTTTATGCCTCCATTGTTGACAAATAAACACAAAAAAATTCATATATCATTTTGTTATAATATAACATTTAGATAATAGTTACTTACTACCAGTTTGACACACTGTGTAGCACGTAACATTCCCGATCCTCCGGACAGAATGCAAAGCAGTCGACGTCGCCCCAAACACGTCATTTCGGATCCTCCCGATCCACTAACGGTGCTTTTAGGTACCTCAAGCACCGATCATCGTTCTCGTCGAACCCGTCGCTTGCGACGAAGGGCTCGACGAATAAACTAACCCTCAGACACAGCCCACTGAGTTTCTCGCCGGATCTTCTCAGTGGGTCGTGTTTCCGATCCGGTGGTAGATTCTGCGAAGCACGGCTCTTGCTAGGTCCAGTGTTAGCACGCTCCTGGTTTGAGCCCCGTGAGCTCACCTAGTAGTTAAGGTTACGCTGAAATAGCCTCTCAAGGCTCTCAGCATAGGTAGAAACGAAAAAAAAAAACATAGAGTAAGAACTACTTAAACATAAGAAAGCATCACTTCAATAATTTGGATTTAATAGGATTTCGTTGCTAAAAAAAATTTATTATACACATCACTGTGACACTTCAAGGTCCAGTGAAAGTCGTATATCTTTGCTTCAGATACTCGAAACCAATATTTTAAACAGACTTAACTCTCTAAGCAAAAGCCCTATATTTTATCTCTGGCGGTGAACAATGTTCTTCCAATTACGTCATGGATCAGTCTTAAATTCATTGTTGTCTAATATGGATGATGGATTAGTGATAATTTAGCAAAGAATAAAAATGTCTTATTACAAACAAACTTATGATATAAATAATTTTATTCAAATTAATTTCAAAGACGGACCGAATTTTGTTACTCGGAACTTATATAAATGAAATTTTTTCTTGAAATTGTCGTTAGCGCGAGTCAGGTCAAACATGTCATAGTCAAATATGTTCTATTCTATGACAGCAACCGCTACAGTAGAAGCATAGATAATCAAACCACTCCTAGGGAGAGTGGGGTGATGGTTGCAATAGCTCAAGGAGTCATAGCTCGCGTACCAAGATCTAATGATGCTCTAACATGACAAGTTGTTAATAACATTAATACCAAGTTAATAAAGTTCAAAATTGCATAACATCAAAGTTAACTTGTTTACAATTTTAATTACATGCATTCATCCCCTACACGCGACAAACGACCTTACATCAATAACGGTTTACGTATTTTAAATTCTTAATTAAACACGACCAAGTATTTTTCACGTCTACACAATTTCAGTATGAAGACAAAACGAATTTAACCTCTATTTTAATTCGCATCAAGACATAAATTCGTTTGAAGAACAAACTTCTAATAAAATAGGCCAGGCACTCGAGTCCTCTCGTGCAGTTTTAAGAGGTAGGCAGCATCAAATAAAAGAGGCCTGGAGGGCTCTTTATAATTGTGACTCATGGATTTTTTTTGTTAGACCAGCTGTTCCTGACACTTGAATGCCGGATTCCATGCTTGAGTAGACCTCGAGTGATCGGAAGATTTTACAATAGACTCTTCGGTTTATCGCAGACTTCACTTGGCGGTCGGCGGACGAACCATTAAGGACTCCTTTGACCGTCAAGTTAACTTACGTACGCTACCGTTACCTAATTCAATCGGCCTGGGTTCTACATTTTTTACGATGTCTTAGTATAAAATTTGCATTTCTAGTAGAAAAATATAGTAAAATTTAACATTTTGTTATGTAATTTACAAAAAATCCGCCAAAACGTGTCACATGGTGTCTTTTTCGAAATGTCTCCCTATAATAGATACGCTGCAGTCTATGAATATCTTAAGCAATCCGTTTATAATGCGTATATATTGAAATGCTACGTGATTTCCGGGTGTAGCTGGAATAGCCCCTTAGCTTACCAGCGAATGGGTAGAGGAAAAAAGACATGTGAGAATAAACCAAACTATTAAAATAACGAAAACAACTAAAGCCGCAAAAAACTCAGATACTCTGGTCTTTCAGTTAATTTGGATACCCGTAAACTTGCTTCCCACAAAGAAACGAGAATAGACAAGACCAAAGATCCAGAGCCACTCATAAATAACACTAAACGTGACGTCAGTAACAAAACTGTAGTTTGAATACACAAAAATATCCAACCGCTTCGCGTAAAACGAATTTTCATTTATTTAATCATATATCCGAACTCAATTAAGCGTTAACTAAATTTGGATAGTCTGTATCCAGCAATAAAATGTCATACTGATATGTTTCTGACACTGAAGTATGAAACTTCTATGGTTTCTGATTGAAGCATAGGCCTTTATTATTTCAGTGGACGGAAGCACATTTATGAAATACACTTAATATTTGATTGAACATCATGAATCATCAAAATATAAATTTGTTTCTCGTTAAACGTGTTGTTGGTAAGAGATTAAGCACTTATAACAAAATTTATTGATTAAATACTTTTAAGATAACACTTAAGATAGTTACAATATATGCGTATATTCTAATTTATTATTTATCAGACCACATGAAAAAACCTTGACTCCGAAATATCGATTGATAAATTTTTGTATAGTCACCGATATACTTATCATTTTCGCTATCACTGAACTTATCAACCGACAATATTTATCATACGTTTCAGTTATCCAATAACTTTTGTATTGTTTAGTGCGTATGGATTTTTCAATGACACTGTGAAAGTGCGCGAGTCAAAAGAATGGGAATACACTGCGAGATGAATTTATTTAATCCTCCCGATGGAACCTTTGTGCCCGGCGAAACGGTGTCTGGTGTAATTAAATATGCAGTAGACAGAGACACGGCCGTGAAAAGGATTATTGTATCGCTAAAAGGCGGCGGAGTTCTCAGAATCAGAAACACACAACGCAGACAACAGAACAGGCCGAATGTTTTTTATTGCTTCGAAGAGTACGTCGACATTGATAATATAATACGGGAAGACGAAAAAGGAATTTTACCGTTTGGATGCTATGAAACGAATTTTAGTTTTACGGTACCGAAAAATTTACCGCCTTCCTTCAAATACATGAAACATTTGCCACATCATATAGTGAAATGCAAGATATCTTATTTTGTTCGGATAAAATTCGAGAAACCGGGCTTATTTAAATTGAACAAGCATTTCAGATATTATATTACTATGTTGTCAGGTGTAACTCCCAATCTACCAACGGTTCCGACTGTATTTAGTAAAGATAAAAACTTGTGCAGACTAATATCGAGTAGCCCTAGGACAGTTAAAATCAGAGCGAACGTAGAGAGTTGCGTTTTAGCTCCTGGCACTAAAATCGAACTTAACTATGAAGTACACAATAACACTAACCTCGTTATAAAAGGTGTTGAAACAAAATTGATCGAAGTGCACTCGTTCAAAGCGAGATCAAGTAGAAAAATACAAAACTTTAAAGATGTACCGGATACAGATACAAAAACGGCTTCCATCAATAGCGGTGATCATCAAACTATGCTTATAATTATGAATCTTCCTCCTGATATAATGTCAGTTGAAAATTCTAAAATAGTTCAAAGGGAATATGCAGTTAAGATAACTGTGGATCTTCCAATGCCGCATTTCAATATCGTGTTTGAAATCCCTGTACAAATCGGATACAGGACTGACCTGATTGAGGAGAGTGCCGCTATCCCTATTAATGAGTTACCCCCTCCTTACTGGGCCATTATGGGCGAAGCCAACGGTTCTAGGGAAGACTTAGATTCGATTGATAATTTTTAAGAAATAGAACTCATAAATACATTTGTACCGTTGCTTGTTTTGTGATTCTATCCGTGGATCGTCATGATTCCTATTGATTAATTTATTTGAAGCTACAACCGACCATTGGTTAAATATTTCCTTGGCATTACCTTTAAGCAAGAAAGCACCAAGCCATGAAGGTGAAAGAGCAGTAAATGACAAAATAACTGCGTGCGAACGGTTTCGTAAATGCCCACATCGAAGGTTTTTGTGTTTATCGACATTATTTATTTGCTAATTTAAATTAAGGATTCACAATACTTTTGTTTTCTTAAATAAATTTGTACGTTATACTTGTTTTATTTTACTGTTTTACTATGTAGTTAATTATTTATATATATTTTAAAGCGTTTAGGCGGGTCACTGCAAACGCTTTTAATTGCAACTAGAGATAGGCCTTAAATAAAATGTAAATTTTTAAATCAAATACAACATTAAATTTTATTTCACAAGTAAAGTGCTGAAGGTAGCAGCGAATGCTTCCAGATTTATAATACTGATCTCTCCCGGGGACTAAAATGGAGTAGTGGATAAAGTTATTCATAAATATGCGAATATTCTCGAATATACAGTTCGCTAATCTTAGCTTCCACAGGTTTGGTCTTTTACGAACGTTTTTAAAACGGACTGTCATTGTCATTGTCGGTTTTCGAAACGGACTATATTTCAGAAGTCTTCGTGGCCTAAAGGATAAGAGGTCTGGTGCATTCGTATCTAGTAATGCACCTATGTTCCCGCCGGCAAGTACCAATTTTTCTAATGAAATACGTACTTAACAAATGTTCACGATTGACTGAAGGAATAACATCGTGTAGTAAAAATCAAACCCGCAAAATTATAATTTGCGTAATTACTTGTGGTAAGACCTCTTGTGAGTCCGCACGGGTAGGTACCACCGCCTTGCCTATTTCTGCCGTGAAGCAGTAATGCGTTTCGTTTTGAAGCGTGGGGCAGCCGTTCTGACTATACTGAGCCTTAGAACTCTTATCTCAAGGTGGGTGGCGGCATTTACGTTGTAGATCTCTATGAGCTCTGGTAACCGCTTAACACCTGTGCGCTGTGAGCTCGTTCACCCATCTAAGCAAAAAAAAAGATGTGTAGTATCGTGGGACACCGGATAGGAAAAAGTTCCTTATTATAAAAATATTAATTTTAAGTTCTATTCGAGGTATAAAGAAAATAATTATTCGGGTATACATTTTTATTATGATTTTTTTATTGATAAAAAAAAACTGCTTTACAAAGTTATCAACTTTATTTTATTCACAAGGATGTATAAAAAACATATATTAATAATATACAAAAAAACAGCTATTTATATGAATAATAATAATAGCCGTCATCACGTAGACTATACACTGTATCGCCATCATACTAAGACAATACATAAATAATAAAAATCTTACGTTACGGACGCTTTTTCCCGGTTAGGGTAGCCCTCCGCATCGTCCATTCAGGAACTTCGTTCCAAAAGGTAAAGCAAAAGACGCGTGTCATTTTTCTTAGATATGTGGACAGACGAATCTATGGTCCATCTAAGGAAGGAAGGATCTATCCCAGGAATCTAAGACCATAAATATAATAAATAACGCTAAGGATGCCACGCACCTCGAAACTTAAGATCAAAGTATCAAATATGTAGTGATTATCCTGTCCTACAGGAACTACCAACCTGTTCTACAAACCGGAATGCATAAGTGATTCGTGGCAATAACAGGACGAATGAAACCACTAAAAGTTGGGGAATATTAGTTACACAATTTTAACAGGCACTGTAACTTTCCCCCCTTTGCCTTTTCATGAGGTCTGTCCCATGCGAGGTTTGGACGTTGGTTGTCGAGCGAGGTTTTAGTCAGTTCGACTCTGACATACCCCGCCTTCCATCCCCAGTGGAGGGCGGAAGTCCGGTGATTTCCTCCTGACTAAAAAAAAAACTGTAAAATGTAGTCTCGTTATGAAGTTATCATACAAATCAGTTATTCAATTCGGAATTGTCAAAAAAATCGCAACTCACATCCTTGTTTCTCTGCGGGCGGTCTACTCGTGTTTCTGGCGTGTCCATTGTCAAAACGGCTACTCTACAACAACAGTCGTGTCCGTTTTTAATTATTCGTTGCCGAAAATAGAGACAGAGCGTTTACGTAAAATGTTTTTGTTGTTTCATTAACATTGTCAGAGCCCAGTTATTGTTAGACTTTGATGTAATAACCATAGCTTGTCCATTATTCGGTGTCATCATTTAATACGATCGTATTTACATTTAAGGTGTCATCGCCTAAAGGATAAAACCCCACAATTTTATTTTAAGAGGAATTAAGTCAATTAAAAAAGTACCCGAATTTATGTTTCGCCTTCATCTCGTATATACTGATAGCCATTTAAAATCAGGTGGACCGAGAGCTCGTTCATGCGTCCACGCAAAAACCGGAACATGTCCGGTTTCAAATTTGGGGTTGGTCGAAGGGCGATCGAAAAATTACTAAGGGTCTTTTCAAATTCAAATAATAAACAATATCATGATGACGTAACGTTTTTTAGGAAGGGTTTTAATAAATTATACGTCCATTTAGACGAACAATGGGCTCACGAATTTAATGTTGGTTCGGGAATTATGCATAGGAAATTAGAATTTAAACTTTTGTCTGAACATATACCCGTCACTACGCCGTGATGCGTGTGCGGACAATAGAACAATTTTCATGTGTATTAAATTCAGATTTAAACAGATCTTTATTACGAGTAGTACAAATTCTTCTTCCTTCTTCTTAGTCGTACACTCTTGACAGAGTGGTCGTGGTCATGCATCAGTCGGATCCTGCGATACCGATGCTCTCGCGATGCGACGCAAAAGTTTTTGACTGCTTTGACTGACATAGCCAAAGTCCTCGGACAAAGTGGAATTGGGCTGGCCACATATGTCGTCGCACTGAAAATGGGTGAGGCAGAAAAGTATTGGAACGGAGACCTCGTACTGGACGTCGTAACATGGACAGACAAACAATGAGGCGGACCGACAGCCTGGTGAAAATAGCTGGTAAGGACTGGATGCGAAAGGCAAGAGACCGAATAGAATGGAATGCATATAATGTATGAAAAGACATTGGGTGGACACAGGTTGAGGAAGAGCTTAGACTCTCTCTTCTCAGCTATTTATCCCACATGGTGGTGGTGTAACTACAACTTTTGAAGTCGTCGAAGTTCGTAACGACTTTTGAAGTCGTCGTGGCCTAACGGATAAGACGTCCGGTGCATTCGTGTTGAAGCGATGCGCCGGTGTTCGAATCCCGCAGGCGGGTACCAATTTTTCTAATGAAATACGTACTCAACAAATGTTCACGATTGACTTCCACGGTGAAGGAATAACATCGTGTAATAAAAATGAAACCCGCAAAATTATAATTTGCGTAATTACTGGTGGTAGGACCTCTTGTGAGTCCGCACGGGTAGGTACCACCGCCCCGCCTATTTCTGCCGTGAAGCAGTAATGCGTTTCGGTTTGAAGGGTGGGGCAGCCGTTGTGACTATACTGAGACCTTAGAACTATATCTCAAGGTGTGTGGCGCATTTACGTTGTAGATGTCTATGGGCTCCAGTAACCACTTAACATCAGGTGGGCTGTGAGCTCGTCCACACATCTAAGCAATAAAAAAAATATACAGGACTCGAATTCGGCGAGCGGCCGGTTGGGGGAGAAGTACACCCCGACGACGAGCAAGCCTGCCCAGAAGACTGCCACGTAGCCCCGACCCCTCTGCACGTAGTCGAATTCGGGCGGAGCGCCCACCGCCGACCGACGCTGGACCACGGCCACCAGGCCGTCAACATCTCCCGCCCAGTCGGGAACCGAAGGGACCCGGTAGGGCTCGGCGACGACCGCTAGATGGGTCAATCGCTCCGCCATGCTCTGGATCAGCAGGTCCTGAGCCCTGGCGGAGCGATTGAGATTGCCCTGAAGGATATTAAAAGGGCTGCTGGTCATCGTCCGTCGTCCATCGGTGTCGCCGTAGCCGTACCGGGCCGACTCCGCTGACTCTCTTCGGCGGTGCTCATCATCGGTCGTCTCTGTTTCGGGGGGTTGGCGCGCAGCTTTGCCCAGAGAACGTGCGTGCAGGCCCTTACCTTGGTGGCCGGCGCAGATCTGTACAGTGCGGTGAAGCGTGCAGCCCGGACCTTGTGGCCGGTCTGCCCGCACGGGTAGACTCACCATACTCCGCGGTCACCCCACCGACGATGGGCAACGGGCACTCACGTGGCCCAGTGCGTGGCAGCGGTAGCACTGCAGGCGCCTCGTCTCGAGGAGTTGTGCGCGAAGGACGCTCCACCCGATCCGCAGCTTGTCGACGGCCAATATTCTTTTGACGCCCGCTATGGGACATCTGACCAAGACCTGGCCAGTGCCTCCGGGGCCCATTTTTATTTCCCCAACCTTCACAGTGTCGGGGGGGCACTCTCCAAT